TTCTGGTTATACTGGGGGGGGGCATAGGTGACAAACAAGGCGGGAACAGTGATGGTGCCACCCTGTAATTCCAGACTATAGGAAGCTGAGAAAGGAAGATGGAGTGTTAAAAGCTATTTTTAGTTCCATAGTGAGGCTAGTCTGGGTTTCAGGGACACTGTCTCAAAACAAACAATCGTTAACAAAACCCCTACTTACTGCAAAAATACTTCCACACATTTGTTTGTTTGTTTTTCTTTTTTGAGACAGAGTCTCACTATGTAGCCCTAGGTGGCCTGGAACTGGGGTTTCAACTTCTGCCTGGGATAAAGATGTGTACCGCCATACCTGGTTGCTTTACTTTTTATTGTGTCTTTTTAAGTACACCATAGACTTTTACATCTTAAGATTCCTGTGTAGCACAGGCTATCCTGGAGCTTTTGGTGATACTGCCTTCACCTGAGTGCTGGAGTTACAGGTGTGTACCCACACTTTGACGGGGCTACTTTTAAGAGCTAACTTCTGTGGAGCACACATTCTTGAGGGTGGGCTCAATGAACAGCTTCTTCTTATAAAATGAGTGTTCCACCCTCATAGTGGAGTTTCCACCCGCTTACCACCCAGCCTCGACAGTCATTCAGTTCTATGAACTGGATGACTTCATGTAAGTGGGATTATCTTTGTTTTTGTGCAACTGGCTTATTTAACTTAGCATGATGCCTTCAAGGTTTAGTTGCTCCATGATACAAGTCTTAGTCCCTCCTGCGTAAGCATGTGTGTGTATCCATGTACATGTGTGTGAGGAGACCAAGGGTCAGCCTCCAGGATCATTACTCATGTGTTTCCAACCTTGTTTTTTGAGGCAGGTTCTTTCATTGGTCCATATACTGGGAACTGCTTCTCTGCCTCCCAAACACTAGGGTTACAAGCACACACCACCATGTCCAGATTCTTTCTGTTGGTTCTGGATATTGAACTGATGCTTTCTCGGCCAACGGTTTACAAACTGAGCTAGTTCCCCAGGCCTTTGCCTCCCTTTTAAAGGCTGAAGAGTAATATTCTGTTTATACATACTTCCCGCTATCCTTATCCTGCTGTCTTTGGGTGAGTTTTTGGGCTTCTCTCACCTTTGGGCTATTGTAACTAGGGCCAAATCAACAAAGCAGTGATCTGCCTTTTATTTGTCACTGAGTCAGGGGCATCGGTGCAGGGCGAAGCTGCTTATCACTGTGCAGCTCCCTGTTCACCTGTTTTCCCACACATCCACCCATTGCACTAACTAACCTGCGTATTAGCTACCCATCTGTAGCATCTGACTACCATCTGTCTTGGTGGTCATTTATATTGCAGGTTTGGTTCTCAAGCCAAGCTTCTTTAGTTTATGTGGGAAGCGGGGGACATGTCAGATGCATTTGAGAAAACTCAAAGGAAGAAACTCAAAAGTAGGAGCTGCATCTCAAACCCACGAAGACGATCTCTTGCCTTGTTCAATAAGCTCCTTCCTATGAGACTAGGTTGTTCAGTCCCAAGCCCCGACCATATTGTTGTCTAGAATCAATCTAATAGGACTTCCCAGACGGATTGTAGAGAATTCCTAAATCCTACTTCCTGTGAGGGGAGGAGATAAAGATGAAAATAAAACAAAGGGGCAGCCATGTATCAATGTGAAGAAGACACATTCACATTTTAATTTAGGTGCCTTTAACGCTTGGATCTTAATTATAGTGCAAGAGAGCCCCCTGCTGGTAAGACTGGGAGCAACCCTGGAAACTAGGAAGCCTTACCCTGTCCTGTTAACATCTTCCTCTTTCACCCACCCCCGTCAGTTTTCTGACTGTTTGTGACATGTGAAGAGCTTTAAAACTTACAGAAATGAATAGAAGGAGAGTTATATGTGGAGCCAATGAGCCCTAGATGCTGCTGTATTCTGACTCCACGGATTTTCAAGTCTTGTCTGTTAGCCTACTGGTGAATCTGTGTGGGTGAGGACAAGCCTGAGAGACATGCCCAGTAACACACCGATGACCCCCTGGGACCTTTCAGTCAAAGAAGCAGATGCTAACCAGAGATGTGATAGTGGCACATTCAGACCCCTCTGCTCCTCCATCTGGGAAAGAAGGAAAGAATTTCTACTAAAATATAGTTTTTTGTTTTTTTGTTTTTTGGTTTTTGTTTTTTTTTTTTTTTTTTGGTTTTTACGAGACAGGGTTTCTCTGTATTGTTTTTGAGGCTGTCGGTCCAGCCCAGCCTCGAACTCACAGAGATCCACCTGTCTCTGCCTCCCAAGTGCTGGGAATAAAGGCGTGCGCCACCACTGCCCAGCTAAAATGTAGGTTTTAGTCAGTGCTTGGGATCAAATATATGTCCTCCCACACAGTAGACAAATCCTTGATGCTGAGGTATACCCAATTGGCGTTGACTGTAATTTTCTCAATTCTCCATAAAATGAATTTCACCTCCATTCAACTGGTAAGACTGTGAAATCCTAGCATCTCACCTCCCTCTGGGACCAACTATAGAGCTGAAGGTCAAGTTTAAAGTTCCCCAAGGAAGGGATTACTGTACAGACAGATGTTGGGAACAAGAAAACCACACTTGCATACATACGCATGGGCATAGAGTCAGGGACATATACACACAAGGATACATTTGCATGTATCCTTGAAATTCAAGGAGGGTGGCTGAAATCCACTTCATTCCCAGGGAAACAAATATATCCCCTACACAGCCAGCAAGATTCACCAGAGACCTTCAAAGCCAGCCCCGGAGTTGGCATGGAGTGAGAGTCACAGGGTTTACACTTCAGTCCTGAGGTCCTCCCTTTCCTTTCCTTACTGTGCCACCCTGCTCGTCTTTCCTGAAACTGAATTTACACCCAGAAAACTTGAAAGAAGTTCCCAGTATAGATCAATCACTGCATCTGAGAGCGAGGTACCTACTGAGTGCACAAGTACCGTTTCCTTGGCTATCCACAGACTGCTTTCTATGCATACTCCCATTGATGCTCGTGAACTGATAGAGATTCTGCCATCTGCCTCTGCCTCCTGAGTGCTGGCATTAAAGGCATGCATCACCATGCCCACTTTTTCATTTCTGAAAGAAAGGGCACCAGATTCCCCCAGTGTAAACCTGACTCATCCCAAAAACCTTTTTAAAGTCAAATATGTGACTGTTCTGAGCACAAGGAACCCATCAGAGACTGTTCGGAGCCCATTATGTTGATCACAGGGATCTGTTTAATGCTTCTTTGGAAGCAAGTGTCCAGAAACAATCCTGCCTGAGACATACACCAGCTAATTGTCCCTCTGGATTCCCCACCACCCTTCTCAGCCTGGCCTCTGGCAGTTAAGATGAAGTTCTGGACAGAGTGTGTAAATAGACAATACAGTGCCACTCCAAGTGGACCTATGAGCCCCTCTTGCTGTTCCATGTGAGCAGATAGATGGAACTCTGGTCAGTGATCGATAAGGCACTACCCGGGGCTCCGTTGGATAAAGTCTAAGACTTTTCCCCCTTTGTCCCCTCATACATTTTTTAAAAGCCTTTTTTAAATGTTATTAGTTCTTTGAGAATTTCATACAGTGCCTTTTGGCCAGGCTTATCCCCACAGTCACCAAACTTTCTGTCTCCCTGCCACAAGACTCATTTGTACCGTACAAACACTCTTGGATGTGCAACCTTCCACGGGAGCGTGGCTGATGGACCAGATGCTAGACTCTTGCAGAATCTGATTCTTCCTCTCCCAGGAACAAACAGTTGACCAGAGCTCTATGACTGGGAGTGGGACTTGGTGTCCATCTGTGATCCTCATCCTGGGCTTTGGTCTGGTTTGTGCATGCTTTTACAACTACTGTGAGATCTTTCCTGGCTTGGAAACCATTGAGAGCTGCAGTGTGGTCGATCACAGGGAAGGTGTGGTGCCTCCTCCTGTGAGCTTCAGGGTGACCTTCACAGACATGTTAACACAGCAAAACAACCACAATCATCATGTATTGGAAAGGTAATGACAAAATTCTTGTGTTAATGGTGTCTGGAGACAGGGCCTTGGGGAGGCGGTTGGAATTAGGTGATATTCAGAGGGTGAGACCTCATGATGGTATTAATGGCTTTTTAAGAAGAGAATACCTGAAAAAAATAAAATTATAAAAATAAAAATAAGAGAAGACCTGAAATGACTTAGCAGGTCAAAGTTCTTGTGATTCGGTCCGACAACCTGAGTTCAACCCCTGGAATAAATACACAGTAGAAAAAGAGAACTGACTCCCTGTAACCTTCACAAGCACATTGTGGTACATACACACACATGCATACAGACACATGCACACACACAAACACACACACACATACACATGAGCACACAAGCAAACACATGCATGCACACACACACACACATACACACACCATGTACTTAATAATAAATAGGAATCTTTTAAAAGAAAAGGAAGACATAAGTTGGCCCACTGTTCATTCTGCCTCTCCATGGAATTCCCTGTTGCATTATGAAACAGCTAAAAGGACTTCTCTAGTCCAATCTTGGAAATCCCAATCTCTGTTGCTATAAAAAAATTCATTTGTTTTCTTTATAATTTAGGCTCTAGTATTTTGTTACAGCAACACAGCCTTTTTCGTTATTATAGCTCAGCCTATGCTGGGTAGTTAGCAAGATGGAAAGACAAGTTTCAACTCTTAGTATGTTAGCATAACTGATGGCTATACTTCGTCGGAGTCTACAATCTAAAAAGCAACAGAGAACACTCTAGTCTAGGTCTCTCGTCGCTCAAAGGAGAAAACTGAAGTTCGGGAGAGTGAAGGGAGCTGGGAAGCAGTGGACGACAGTGGGATGGGAGCTTTGATTCCTTGTTTACAGCATCGCCTTCTTGTGGCACCCACCCAGTGGCTGCAGTTCCTGCTGTCTTTGTGGAGCCAATCTCAGGTTCTGATCACTCTCTGTAGGATTTTGGCTTCCCAGGCACAGCCTGTCCCACCAGAGATGACCACGCAGACACAGTGGGGAGCCAGTTTAAAGTCTTTATTACAGCCGGCTGAGACTACGCAGGTATTTGGGACCCAAGTGTAGCACTGAGTTTTTAGGGCAAGAAGTTTTTAAAGGCAAAAACGGAATCTTGGTATTTTGCTGTGCAGCTGCAGAGGGAGGTTTTGCTTAACTAGGCAGTTTAATAAAAGCTACTATAAGTGGGTAGGTGTAGGGGGAGGTCTGCACAAGCAGGCAGATTAACAGAAGGCGAGTTAGCAGGGGCATCTTCACCTCGGGTTCCTAGAATAGTGTTGTGTAATTTTCCATGGACTCTACACCAAGGAGATCAAATCTCTAGTTAAACCTAAAACAGTCTCATCAAATATGAGATGAAGGGACCTCTGCACCGTCCTGCCTGTCACAATGCAGAGGGCAGTGAGGTGTTGGAGAAAGGGTTTGTGGGCTCTGCATGACTGTCTTCACACCCATTCGGACTTTTTGGTTCTCAGGTGGGGGGCGCTGCCCGAGGTAGCTAGCCAACCAGGAGCATGAGGCTGGCTTGTTGAACAGGCTCTGGCCAAGTGGCTCTGGGTGGCCAAGGGGAGCTCACTTGACCGGGTGCTTTTGACTCCCAGATCCGGAGAAGTCTCTCTGTGGGATCTGAAATGCTCTGTGTGAGCCACCGCCAACCTGTCGCCAGCTGAGGAAGCAGCCTCGCTATCATCTTGGTCTGAATGCTCGGCCCGCCCTAACACACTGGCCTGACCAGCTTGGCTGTTGCTGCCCTGCCCTGCTGTCCACAAGCTGGGCAACTCAGGCACACCCTGCTCCTCCTGCCCGCCTTCACGGTCCACCTGACCCTGACTATGACAGCCCTGAGGGCCCTGTAAGAGACCAGGGGGGAGTGTGGGGACTTCGCAGACTTGTCTGGCCTCGCCCTTCACCCGCTGCGTGGTCCCCCGTGTCCTCCGCAGGCTGCAAACTAGGTCGGCCAAACTGAGCAGGAAGGATAGCGCGCTCACGGCCCACACGAACAGCATCAGAAGGGACTTCTCCGTGGGCCGCGACACGTAGCAGTCCACAGCCCCTGAGCAGGGCACGCGCGAGCAAGAAACTCGGTTGGGCACAGAGAAGCCAAAGAGCCAGTAGTGCAGGGAGGCCAGCCCGGCCTCCAACAGTGTGCGCAGCAGCAGGTGCACCAGGTAGGCAGAGGACAGGTCAGGCACCTGTGGTCTGCAGGCTCCCTCTGCAGCCAGCTTCGCGCCCCGATGCAGGGCATAGGCTCCAAAGACCACCGAAGGCAAGAGCAGCGCCAGGCTTTGCACCAGCCAGAACCGCAGTGGCGACACTGGGGAGAAGAAGTCGTAGCAAACGTTGGCACATCCTGGCTGCAGGGTATTGCAAACAAACCTCTCCTGTTCGTCCTGGTAGATAGGGGATCCTGCCAAGACCACCACCAGCATCCGCAGCAGGACCGCCACGACCAGCCAGAGCATGCCTAGGCGAGAGCAAGTGTCCAAGTATCAGTGTCCAAGGTTCAGAAGGCTGCCTCCACACAGCAGCTTAACTGCTACATCCTGGGAAATCAGTAGCACGCAGATAAATAGGGGCAACTATTTACACACGTGCACGAGCACGTGCACACACGCGCGTGCGCACGCACTGGTGGTAGCAAGGATCAAAACCAGAACCTGTTGCATTCTATGCTAGGAAAGTACTCTACCACTGAACCCCACTACCAACCCTTCAGGAACAGCCCTGAAGTTCACGTGAGATCTTTCCCATGAGCAGATCTGTGAAGTGCATCATGAACTAAAGATACTTTGCATGGCCTGGACTGAAAGCTCCAGAGGGCATTTCGGCTGAGCAAACCTACGATGTGATTCTATTTCACCCTTCTTGGGGACTTAGCTTTTTAAAGGACCTTAGTATATTTCCTTCATCACGCTGAGCAAAAAGAAGGTGGTAATTTCAATGTCTCCCTTATTTATGATGCCAGCCTATAGGACACCCATCAATCATAGTGCCGTGACTCTGGGTCCTTGAGTTTGAATGTCTTTAAGAACACTCCCTTTTCTAGTATTTCCAGATTCCTTTCCCCTTAGTCCAGTCAGTGTATTAATGACGTTAACTGTGAATGAACAAAAAGAAAAAAAAAGAAACAGCTCTTATCATTTGTAAAGGCAGTCAAGCTCAGAGAGAGGCATCAGCAGGTGATGAAGTCATGGATTTAACCTTTCAACACCAGGTTTATTTACTCAAATTCTACAACATAAGAATGAAAAAACTATCAACCTCACATCAGGCAAACCTTGATCTTTTCTCCATTCTTTTTTCAGACAACCGTGCCTCCCTGAAGTCAATCTCGGGCATCTTTATTATTCTCTTGTTAAAAGAATAGCTAAGGTAATATATGATCACGCAAGACTGCAACCCAGCTCTTGGAAAGCTCTGACAGGAGTGGGTCAGAAGTTCAACCCCAGCCTCAGCCTGAGCTCTGGGGAAAGAATGCTACTATGTCACTAAGGGTGGGGGACAAAGCTCAGTGTGATACTATGACACTAGAGGCGGGGGACACAGCTCAGTGTGTGATCCCCTGGCCTCAGTGTATCAGCACCTCACGCCTGAGGGAGACCCTGAACCCTATCCCCAAGACTACAAACAACTAATTTAAACTTGGGATCTGTGTTAGAGTGCTTAAGAGAAATTAGTCATATTTATACCATAATCTCCAAAGATAAAACCTAAAAAGGTCGATGAGGAGTCACAACAGAAGCACTATTTTCTTGTCCACCTGCTTCTGCTTTTAAACTCCAACCCCAAATGCCAGGAGAACAGATCTTGCCTGAGACTGATGCTGCCCTCCATACATCTTCCCATGTTGATGGGAGCAAGGTACGACCCTTGCTTAGGGTTAGCCAGGAACCCCACACCAAGAGTGATCACTGATCTTACTTTTGGGAGTGGGTCAGACAAACTGAAAATTGGGATTAAATTTTTGAAAAGACAATCTGCATATGGCAACAAAACCAGAACAAAATTTGGGAGTTTTTTTCCTCCCCAAGACTCACCCACAATGGTCATGTTGCAGTTTAAGGTGATAATGAGGAACCCCACCAAGTCCAAGTTCTCCATGCTTGCAGACAGCCACGGGCCTGGGCTGCTGGAGGGTTGAGAGGTCTGTGTACTCCAAGGATATTAAAAAAAATCAATAGTTTTTTTTCTACATCAGACTTCAAGGTGGGCACCACGCTGTGGAAAGAAAGATGTGCTCCTAGGCCTGGGAGGTCAGGTCTCCTGTCTCCACACTGATCCGGCTCTAAGCTGTTTGCCAATGAGACACTCCTGACAACTGCAGGGCCTTGAGCAGGAGTCGTCTCTCTGTGAGGCTATTCTTACCCTCACAGGACATTCCAGGCTTGTAGCTGTGTTTGCATGTCTCCATCAGGAAAGTCAGGCACTTTGGGACATAATAGAAGCAGCTACTTTTAGCCCAAGAAAGAAAACTTCTGTTAATTAGCCAATGAACTTTTTCTCTACTAGATCTGGGAAAATGGCTCAGTTGGTAAACTGTTTGCTGTATGAGCATGAGGACCTGACCTCAAACCCCAGCACCCACATAAAATGCCAAGCATGGTGGTGCATGCTTTAATCTAAGTGTTGGGGAGACAGGCATGTGCAGATATTAGAGCTCACTGGACTCAATTGGTGAGCCCCAGGTCCTAATGAGAGATGCTGTCTCAAAAATCAAGGTGAAGAGCACCTGAGGATGACACCCAAGGTTGATGTCTGTGGTAGTTTGGAGGGTACTAGTTCCCATAGGCTCATGTTTTAAATATTTGATCCCGTGTTGGTGGGAACAGAAAAATTATAGAAAATATCCAAACATACAGAAATTGAACAAATCACTTTGACTCACCAGTGGGTTACTGAATATATAGGGAGTGAAACTTCAAAATTGACAAATTTATAATAGTAATGGCTTCTACAGTCGCCGCAAACATTGACTTTATGAACAGGGACTGCTTGAGGGAAATGCAGGGCTCTGGATTAGTCAACTTACATTTATAGTAACTAATACCCAAGATACCAAAGAAGGGAAGACTTCTGACACAGGGTCTCCATCCATGAATACCTGGTCCTCTAGCTTGGGGCCAGTAGCAGCATAAGATTTCACAGTGGGAGCATGTGGTGGGGGAGACTGGTCATCTGGTAGTAGCCAATAAGCAGAGAAAGAGGACACAAGAGTCCAAGCTCACTATCTCCCCAAGCATACACCCAATGACCTCACTTCCTCCCACCAGACTCCATCTCCTAAAGGTTCTACTAACTGTCACTATCACTATAGACAAGTAACCAAGCCAATAACACTTGGTTGGGTCTTTGAGGGCATTTGAGGTTAAACTAAAGCCAGCTCCTGTGAACCTCTGGTTGTAACATTTCTTCATAAAAATTGTTTTGTGTATGCTTTATTGACACACACATCTTTTACATGCTTAATAGGTACTGTTAGCTCACTTATGTAAACTCATGATCAATAACACTAATACTCCTCCCTAAATAAGCATGAATTGACATCCATTCTTACCCTGGAAGGCTCATCACATGCTTCTTATGTCCTGAATGCAGCAGGGTTTTTCAAGTCACAGGACATTTCACAGCCTGGTTGTTCATGACCTGAGAACCCAAGACACTAGATACTCACAGTCATCAAAGATTTGCTCAACTGGGGCTGGTTCATCAGTTAAGAGCTCCTTTCAGAGAATCTGAATTAGGTTTCCAGCACCCACATTCTGGTTCACCATCAGTTCTAATTCCAGTTTCAGGGATCCAGAGATTCAATGCCACTTTCTGGCCTTTGTAGGCACAGGCATATATATGTGGTGCACTACATATACTCAGAAACACTCATACACACAAAACAAAAATAAATAAATCTTAAACATTTTCAGAAATATATTTTGATCAAATTCTTACCCCTCCCTCAACTTTTTTCAGAGCCTCTCCACCTCTCTCACCACCCAAATTTATGTCTATTTTTTTTGTCTTTCTCTCTTAAAAACAAGAAAGGCAACAAAAAGCAAAAGACAAAACATCAAAATAGACAAACTCTAAAAAAGAAAATCAGCAAGAGAAAACATACCAAAACAAAACAAAAAGTGCACAAAAGCATGAAATCTGTTTTGTGTTGGCCAACTGCTCCTGGCATGAGGCCTACCCAGAATGCAGTGACACTTCATTGAGAGAGTCTATTGCTTAAACATCCCATTTAAGGCTTAATGATTCAAAGTCGCTCATCATCTGCACCCTGCCCAGTTGTGGCTCTCTTTGTTAATTATCATCTACTCTCAGAAGAATCTTCTCTGATAACAGTTGAGTGATGCTCTGGTCTATGGGTATAGCAGTATGTTCTTAGGAGTCCTTTATTGCTGTGCTCCTATAGAAGAATAGTAGGTTTTCCCAGGCCCATAACCTGTGCAGTCGTGGGTTCTTGACCACTTTAGCAGTACCAGGTATGGGTTTCATATCATAGAGTGGGCATTAGATTCAATCAGCATCTCTGTCTCTCTGTCTCTGTCTGTCTGTCTGTCTGTCTCTCTCTCTCTCTCTCTCTTCATATGTGTGTGTGTGCGTATGTGTGTGTATTTTGTGGGTGTGTTACAAGATATTCAACCTAGGGCCTCACATTTTCCTCATATCCCGTCAACATGCTCCCCCCACCCCAACTTCATGTCTTTCTGGGTTTTGTTTTGTTTTGTTGTAAGAATGTACTTAAGTCCAGTAGTGTTTCCCATTCATGGGTGTGGTGCCATCCACTGGAGCATGGGAAACCCACCAGTGGCCAAATTCTAAAAAAATCACTTTACTGACTGAGCTACTGCCCTAGCTTTAATGTTGGGATTTTTAAAGACAGAACCAAATCCATTAAAAGGCAGTAGTCAAGGTAGTCCCTGGCCATCAAAATAGTAGGATGAATAACAGGATGAAAACAGGATGAAACTGAAAGGGCTTCAAGGTGAGAAGGACTGCTTGCTAGTATTTTACGTCAAGGAAACATTGCATGCCTGAGCTTATGCCCAAGTCTTCACAGCTTTATGAAGTAGGCATCATATTCCCTCTTTTAAAAAATCCATTTATCTTCAGTGTATTGAGTCTCTGGGAAGATCTTGGCCACATCTTGGTAATACAAAGAAGAAAAATGGATGGGTTTCTGAGATCTGAGATGGGCATGGTGGTACAGTCCTGCAAACACAGTAACACAATACTCAGAAAGAGGCAGGATTGCTGTGACCTGCTTTTTTTTAAAGATGAAGGGGGAGGAGAGGGAGGGAGGGAGAGAGGGAGAGAGGAAGAAAGAGAGAGAGAGAGAGAGAGAGAGAGAGAGAGAGAGAGAGAGAGAGAGAGAGAGAGAGAGAGAGAGTCTACTTTCAGCTAGGCAGTAATGCAGTTCAGCACTGAAATAAAGAAATGAAGGACATTTCAGTAAAGCAACCTTTACATCAAGGGTACAGCTTCATAGTAACTAGGGAGGAGCCCTCAACTTGGATAACTAAAGGTTAAGAAGTAGCTTACTTCCAAAAGAAGTAGTCACTCTAATATATATGGCAGCAGACACCCTATCACACACATACCATTCCAACCCCCCCCCACCTCCTCATTGTGTAGCATCTCCTCTGTATTGAAACATTCCTTCATGGATGGAGGAGGGAGGCTCACATGACTCAGGAAGCTCAGAAAATTATGAGATACAGAACATACATCACCTATCCTGTAGTCTTTCTTGGTTTCTGTAGCCAAGATTTTCAGGTCTCTTTAAATTAAATACTATCTTCATTAATTTTGAAGAGAACCATAACTTTTTATTTTCTGTGGAAACAAGGTATAAGCTCTCTCACACTTTTTTTACTTCCGTTTTGAAGTTAAGGCATTCTTAAAATATATAGGTTGGTTTAACTTAGCAGTTTCCATAACCCAATAGCTATTGGTTTTTGTACATTAGCATTTAAAAAATTCAAAGTCAACAAAATGCCATACCACAGGATCCAGACACTCTGTATTTCCCATCTTTACTTGACTTAGTCCTCTGTTACTTTATTCTTCCTTTAAAGACTCTACTATGTCTAAATTATTTATTTATTTCTATGATACTCTATAACCATTTTCTTTAGCATCTAAGCACATTTTTAAACACTCTGTACCTTTTTAGAGGTTTTCTATGTCTGAGCCTGGCTTTTCTGAGTGCCTGCAGCACTCTCTGACCATGTGAGACAAATCTTAAACGGGCATGTCAGCCGCAGCACTCTCTGACCATGTGAGACAAATCTTAAACGGGCATGTCAGCCACAGCACTGGTTCAGCTTAGTGCATGGCGCCGGCTCACCCCACTAGCAGCTGGCTCCAGCCCACAGGCAGTGATCGGGAGCTGAGCCTTTGAATCCTGCTGAGCACCAATCCATCTGAGACACTGCAGGACTAGGAAGGCACATCTGGGTCATTGTCCGTAACTTTCTCAGACCCTATGTTTGGATATTTGAGTCCAATGGTGGGTGCCATATGTAATAGACTTTCTTGTTGAGACTGCCAGCTCATATATAATGACACAGAGATACTTGTTATTAATTATGAAGGCCTGGCCATTAGTTTAGGCTTATCCCACTAGCTCTTATAACTTAAATTGACCCATCTCTAGTAACCTACATTCTGCCACATGACTCAGTTACCTCTGCTCTGTTCCATATGTCCAACTTCTTCAGAGACTCCTGGCATCTTCCTGGCATAATGTACATGCCTAGATTCCTCCTCCTCTTCTTCTCTCTCCTTGGAAATATCACCTATCTCTCCTGCCTACCTCTTAGCCATTCAGCTCTTTTTTAAATCAATCACAGTGACACATCTTTACACAATGAACAAATATTGCACCACAAATGGTAATTAAAAATCTCCCAAATAAAAATATCCCTGGGCTAGATGGATACAGAATAGAATTCCATAAAATAGAAAAGGAAGGAACTTCTCCAAAATTCTTTTTGTGTCACTAGTATTGTCCTGATACTGAAACTAGATAAAGATCCAATACAAATTATATTATAGGCCACTCTCTGCTGAACACAGATGCAGAAATTCTCAATAAAAACATGTGCAAACTTAATGCATCAAAAAGATTATCCACCATGTTCACATCGGTTTCATGTGACACAGAAATGGTCGACACAACTTATATAGATCAATAAATATAATCTGCCACATTAATAGACTCAAGCACAGAAGCCACATGGTCATCTCAGTAGATGTAAAAAAGGCCTTTGTCAAAATCCCGCATCCTTTCATAAAATCCCAGGAGAATTTAGGGTATGGTAGACACAGTTCATCATAATAAACACTTGGTACCCTGAGTCTTTTTAAGAGTAGAAAGTAGGAGATAGGTTTTAACGTGTAGGTGCAGAAAAGGACTTT